GGCCAGAGCCGCTTTGCTGGGACCATGTTGATTTTCTTGATGCCCTGGCGCAGGATCGGCTGGAGCTTTCGAAGGGGTTTGGGGCTTAGGGTTTAGGGTCTAGGGTTTGGGTTTAGGGTTTAGCCGGGGTTTAGGGTTTAGGGTTTGGGGTTTAGGGTTTAGGGTTTAGGGGTTTAGGGGTTTAGGGTTTAGCCGGGGTTTAGGGTTTAGGGTTTAGGTTGATGTACAGCACGAGGACTAAACCCTTAACTGGTACTGGTGTTGCTTCTCTTGTTAGGCTAAACTCCTGAATCCATGCGACCCAAAGCCCACGAGAAGTCTTCACTTCTTGGTGAAGCTGAGTTCATGCCTGCAAAGTCTGTTAGCAAAACCCTAAACCCTAAACCCTACACTGGGTGTGTGAGGCTTGAAGGCTCGGCTGACTTTAGGCCTCACAGTCCCATGTTGAATCTGAAGCAAAGCCTAAACCCTGAAATTGTAAACCCCGGAGTGTAAAAATCCTGCGTCAACGCGGCCGAAGCGGCACACTGCGAAACCCTACTGCGCTACGGAAGCCCGTTAAGACCAAAACCCGAAGACGATAGAAACAAAAACCTACGCCGGGCTCAAATGCGCCAACCCCCCGACCCACCCCCCCCCTTCTCGTGCGCACACACACACGCAGAAAAAAAACAATGCAAACCATAGAACATAAAACCTGCAACTCCAAAGCTAAAACCACAGTCACAACACCCACAGATCCTAAACAACCCTCACATTCAATATCTTAAATCGCTGCAAGACACTGTGCAACCCCTTGTGAAACCCTTGAAAGACATTGCTGCATCGTTGCTGCCAAGCCTGAATACTCAGCACCCTGAGCCCTTATCCTAGACCCGGGATCCGAAACCCAAAGCCTTAAGCACTGTAAACCCTGAAAGCCTAAGCCAAGACCCCCGACAGGCTGACCCTAAACCCTATGACCCTAAGCTCTCAACCCCTGAACCCTAACCCTAAACCCCACCTCAAACCTCAAACCCTTTAGACTTGCTTAGCCCTAAGAACCCTCAACTGGTCTACACCCTCAGCTTCAACCCCTAAAGGGTTCAGGCTTTAAGGGTTTAGGTTTTAGGGTTTAGGGTTTTTCTTTGAGGGTTTAGGTGTTAGGGTTTAGGGGTTTAGATTTCAGGGTTTAGGGGTTTAGGTTTGAGGGTTTAGTTGAGGTTTCAGGGTTTAGGGGTTTAGGTTTTAGGGCTTGGGGGTTTAGTTCCCCCTCCCTTACAAAGCCCAAGCCCTCTACTACTTGGAGGTTCATGGGTAGTTATGGAGTTTTCAGTCCCCTAATATAGGTTATAACTATAGTTAGCCTACTTATAACCCCACTTATAACTACCCATGAACCTCCAACTATGACCCCTTATAGACCCCTTATAGGATCCCTTAAAGAGCCCTTATAGAACCCTCNNCCCATGAACCTCCAAGTACCTGAACCACGCCTCCCCTCTGTCGTTGCTGCTCTTCGGCGGCGGGACGACCCGCTTCAAGCGCCTCGCCGACAAGTCTTCCTGGGATCTCGGAGCCCTAAAGCCCCAAACCCCTAAA